TATGTGAATATCGCTTTGTGTATTTTACCCCTCACCAGTGCTGAACTTCTGTGATCTCGGGTTCCCCACTTATAAGATGGACGTGAAAATTCCTACCTCCCCGTGTGTCACTAGGAATAAATGTGCTAATATCTAGGAGAGTGTCGCTGAGTCAGAAAATGTTGGTTATTAGGATTGCCACTCTCTAAAAGTGAGACAGCTGTGAGGACCAGGCTGGGGTGGGAGGGTCCTGGTGCTGTGGCAGCTCCAGGACAAGCAGCACCTGCAGCCCCTGCTCTGGGCCCCGGAGGCTGAAATCATTAAGTGCAGCAGCAGCCCTGTGTTCCAGCTGACCTAGAACAGAGCCTCCGGTGGCCCTACCTGGCCTGCGACAAATTTCTTCAACCCCTGAAGCTAGTCAGGCATTGGCCAGGGCTTGCTCCAGTTCCAGTCAGCACCTTGCTAGGCCCAGCCAGTCTTGGGCTCTAGTGTTATGCTTTGAAGTCGCTCATGCTCAGAGGCCTTTGCCAAGGCCCCACACATGGCTACCTATAGCTAGCTGTCTGTCAGGTGGTTGTGTGCTCTTAACTTCCCAGAGGCCTCTCTGGGCTTCTCAGACTGCTGGGGTGGGCACCTCTGTGGGAAGGTGTATGTGAGAATGTGTGTGTGTGTGTGTGTGTGTGTGTGTGTGTGTGTGTGCGCGCGCGCGCATGTGCACAAGGGGGAATTATGAGCTCTGACCGAGGTTCTCTCAGGGCTTGAGGGAGGTAGGGGAACAAGGGGGAGCGGAAGGAGGAAGGTACTGGGGGAGCAGAGGAGGGACAATAAAAACACGTCAGAAAGGGAAGAATTCAAGGTAGCTTCCCTCACATCATCTCACCAATCCCCACAAAGGTAAGGAGTTCTGATCTCATTCACACCTGACTCAGGAGGAAGCTGAGGTACAGAGAGGGGCTGAGAAAGCTGATCCTCCAACAGCCCCTCCTCCTGTCCATCCATCTAGACAGCCAACCTTCTGTCCATTCTCCGCCTTTACCCCCAGTTCTCTCTCTCCATGAAGTCACCCTGTCTATCTTCCTATCTGGTGAAAACTGGCAGCCCCTGGACAGACGGGGAGTGAGACCAGGAGAAAGCCTCCCAGAGAAGAACCAAGAGTCTTTCTGGGTTCCATCTTCAGGTAAAGCAGAGGGTCAAAGGGGCAACTGAACGTGTATGTGCATGGGTATGACACACACGTTTGCCTCTTGGAGAATACATGGAGTCAAGGCTTCTAGTTCTGGTCCCGAGCAGCCCTGTGAGAGAGAATTGGGGGAGGATTGACAAGGTTCTCATACACACGGAGTGAGCAATCCCTGCCGAGAATACGCAGCCCCTCCGTACAACTGAAGGTCGGTGTGGCTGTGCGGGACTAGGGTGTGCGTGTTCCTGTGTGCGCAGGTCTTTGTGAGACTGGACCTAAGCAGCGAGTGGAGAATCAGCCACCAAGGAGCACAGCGCCCTCTGCTGACCACACGGCCCAACCGCCGCAACTTGTCCACTCAAAGCCCTGGGCGGACCCTCGCCCTCTGTCCGTGCTTGGAACTCCCTCGTACTGGGTGCCCCACCCACCCCGAGGGTCTGTCCCCCACAGGCTCACAAAGGAACGCAAGTTGCTGGGCCAGCTTTGCTGGGGAGAGGCCAGCCTCACAGTCATGGCTGTGTCAGTACCTGAGTCTTGTGGAGACTGAGTGGGAAAGAGATCCCCTCTCTTCTGCACCCACTCTCGGATGGTGGGATGAGGGTGGACTGCGGGTAGCTGCTTCCCGGTGGCTCCTGGGGACCCAGCCTGAGAGACTCCCCTTGTCCTCCACCCCCCACACCCCATCTGGCTGGAGCCCAGCCTCAGGACTCAGGGACGAGGAAGAGCAGCAGCTGTGCATTTGGTGGACGACATCCCCCCCTGCAGGTCGGAGCTGGCACTTGCGGCCGGGCTGGGGTGTGCGCCGACGGTGACCGGTAGGGGACTGCTCCTTGAGGATCTCACATGAGCACTGCCATTTGGTGTTAACTATGCCGATACGGCAGGCAGGGCAGGGCAGGGCGGTCGCAGCTCCCATGTACAGATATTCGACTCAAGTGTGGAGAAGGGCTGGGGACTCCGCGGCTCTCATCTCCAGCTCCTGGGACTGACCCTTGTCAGCAGGGTGCATATTCTCTCCCACCCCTTCCCGGCCCATTTCCTGGCCCTACTGGCCCCTCCTCTTCTGAGGCAAAACTGAAGACCACGGGGAGAGGTTCCCACACCACAGAGAAGCAGGTGCTCAGGTTCAAACACTCAGGAAAACAGAAGCTCAGAACTGGGGTGTGGCTGGGGTCCCAGATGTTTACATGAGGGTTTCTTTTCACACTAGTTTATTGAACACTCACTCTGAGGTGCTTGGCCCTGTTTACACAATGGTTTTACTTCCATCCATTGTCTCATCTTATCCTCACAACCACGCACGAGGTGGATACAAGAATCCCCATTTTACAGATGAGGTACGGTAATTAAAACTCAGAGAGCTTGTGTTACTTGAAGTTGCACAGGAAGACTTGAACTCCAACCCGGACTCCTTAACTATGCAGGGCTGTGTCTTGAGCTGCTCATCTGCATTCCACCCTCTTCCCCACAGAGAGCAAACAGGCCCCAGGAATCTGACTCCTTCATCTCATCTTGATCCCCACAACACTGTGAGGGAAGCGGTTTTAATTCTCATTTAATAGTTTAAGAGATGGAGGCTTGGTGAGTTAAGGAGATTTCCTAAGGTGTGTCAGTGGGCAAGGGGACAGCGGAGCTGCAGGCCCAGAAGAGAAGATGGTGGAGACATGGGCCTGTAGAGGCAGGGGAGAGGATACCAGAGAAGAACCGGGCCAGGTGTGGCTTTTGGGTGTGTGTGTGGCTGGGGCGGGGGGAAGGGTTGCTCTCTCTAAGCATAGGCTCTCAACATGGCACCTTTTTGGAACATTGAAGTGCAGAGAAGGAAGTCTAGGGCTGTGCTTCCTCCCAATGACAGACCTAGCTGGTCACCCCCTTGGCATCTCAAGAGGCTGCTGGCTGTTTACTTCTCCACCGTGCCTGGCACACCCTCCTCAAATGGCAGGGACTTGACATAGCTAGGGCGGGAGACTCAGTGAGGAGAATGTCTCCTCTGCTCCCACTGCCCCCTCCTGACCTCTAGCTCCATTTCTATATTTGACCTTGCCCTCCTCACTAAGGGTGCTGGTCACCCCCTTGGCATCTCAAGAGGCTGCTGGCTGTTTACTTCTCCACCGTGCCTGGCACACCCTCCTCAAATGGCAGGGACTTGACATAGCTAGGGCGGGAGACTCAGTGAGGAGAATGTCTCCTCTGCTCCCACTGCCCCCTCCTGACCTCTAGCTCCATTTCTATATTTGACCTTGCCCTCCTCACTTTCCCCACCCCCATATCTGACTCTCTAGGCCTCTCCTGGCCTCAGCTTCCCTGGTTTTTTCACAGGACTATGGAGCCCATGGGGATCCATAGGGGAGGGTTTGGGATAATGAAGAGGGGAGGCGATGAGCCAGAGTGTCCCAAGAAGAGGCTTCTGGGGAGAGATGAGGCAGTACATGAACGTCAGTGGTTTATTGGGAAGTCCCCACCCTAAACACCAGCAGCCCTACCCCATGAATCTTTAAGCAGAAATAAATAAGGCAGCATTTAATGAACCAGTCTGTCTCCCTCCTAAGGAGCTCTGGGGAGAGTCAGCCTCTGCTGTCCTAGGGGCTAGGATCCCTTTGGCTCTTGAAGAGGATCTAGGGAGAGTGGGGGATGAAGAGTGCAGGCCACCCCCTCTCGGCCTGGCCCTGGGGCAGCCTGCGAGCTTGGAGCTGCATTCATAATCTCTGAGGTCTGACCTCGTGGCAGCAGCCTGCTATGTCCCAAAGAGATACCCTTTCCATCAGACCCCAGCCCCTGGCCACCACCCAGAGCCCCATCATGGATCCCTGCTCCCATTTCTAACTGTGGAGCCTGGGGAGCCAGTACCTCCTCCCCAACCCAGAGGACCCAGCTGTGGGGGAAGGAAGCTTTGCTGTCATGTTTTTCTTTTTCTTTTTCTTTTTTTTCCCCTGTGGTTCAGGGGCTGAGGGGCTGGCTCCTGCCTGATGCTGGTCAGCGGGCAGTCAGCTCCATGGTTTTCTTCCGCTCCTCCCGCTGCTCCTCCCAGTCCTCTTCAGGCTCATATGTGCCCTTGACGACAGCCACACGCTCACTCAGGCTCAGGGAGTTGGGGAAGAGCAGGTAGAAGTAGAGAATGGCAGCCAAAGCAGCTCCCACGATGGGCCCCACCCAGAATACCTGGTGGAGACAGGGCAGCATCAGGGGGCTGAGCCCCAGGCCTCAGAAATCAACCCCTTCCCCCCAGAGGACAGACTCATGGACCCTCAGAGGAGATGGATATACAGACTTCCAGACTTCCAGAAGGAAAGACTTCCCCCACCTCAGAGACAGATATACTGACACCACACTCCAATGACAGGGACATGGACCAGAGACAACCACATACTTAAGGGAGACAGATATATCTCTAGAGAGACAGGGCCCCTTCAACACTACCCTAAAGAGAGACAAATGAAGCTTCAGAGGAACAGACATATAGATCCTCAGAGAGAAGAACAGAATTTCTCTCCCTTCTATGTTAGGATAGAGACAGACTGGAGAGAAACCATGAGCCCTCACAGGAGGTGACAGATTGTCTAGAGGGACAGACTCATACATAGAAAGGAAGATTCTTCCAACCCCTCAACAAAGGGAGATAAATAAAACATCAGAGAGGACAGACACACAGACCCCCAGAGGGACAGACGAAATCTTCAGATCAACTCACAGGTACAGATCCCCTCCCTCCCCTAGAGGGATAGACACACATGGTACCCCCTCCAGCCCCCCAACCAGGGTCCCCTGGCCCCAAGGGCTCAAGACATATACATCTACCTCTGCCCTTGTTCTGGCTGCATCCATTCCCTACTGTGTTCCCTTCTCTCTCCAGCTACCACTCTCGGGAGCCACCCCCAAGCTCTGGGCCCACAGCATCCAGAAAGTCCAGTTAGCTCTTGGCTGCCATAGCTGGATGTCCAGGCCCTCATTGCCAGGGACCCAGCAGGGGAGGCCCAGACTCACCCAGTGTGCAGGGCTGAAACTGCGGGGCCAAAAGAGCGGGCTGGGTTCATGGAGCAGCCGGTGAAGTAGATCTAGACAGAGAGAGGGATATAGTGAGGAGGGGGAATGTGCTTGTCCACTCCCACAGGGCCCCCAACTGTCTCAGGTGCACCCACCAGTACAGGGGCTCAGCCAGGTCAAACTCAAGTCTCCTAATTCCTAGGCTGGTGACTTCTTCCTCCATAGGTCCCTACGCACCCCTCTTCTCTTATCTGTCTTGAGCTCAGGCTTGGTTTCCCGGCCCCACCTCAGTTCCTACCTCTCCTACCTTTCCTCAGGCTACAGAAAGATTTGAGGGTTCAAGTCTGCGCCAGAGTATAGCAGCCCCACTCCAGACCCAAATTGTAGGGCTTGTTGGTCCAGAGGGGTGCTACTCTAGGGCCCCATTATTTGCCTTGAGGGGCTTCCCACAACACCAGCCATGTGGCAGCTCTGCTCACCCCCACGAGATGGCCCAGTGTGACCGACAGGCCAATGGATAGGGCTGGGGAGCCCACAGGGCTGGTGCGGCGGGAGTCGGTGGAGGAGAAGACACAGAGCGCCAGCTGGAAGGTCAGAATCAGCTCTACCACGACGGCCTGGCCCGGCGTTGTGTTGTTGTTGAGCTGGAATGGGAGGTTGGGTTAAGACCCCGGCCTTCCTCTTCTTCTATGGCCAGGGGCTTGTGGAGATGAGCTTTGGGCCTCCAAGGACACCTAGAGCCCAGTGCACATCAAGTCAGGGAGGTCATTTGACAAAAGAGACTGCATAATTCACGGTGTGTGCAATGCTTGGAGCACAGGCCAAAGGACAGTGTGAGGGGAGCTTTTCCTGGACACAGTTCTTTCAACGGTTCTGCCCAGTCCCCAACCCCCACAAGCTGGCATTTACCCTCCCTCCTGTGGGCAGCGTCCCAGTTTGCCTGCTGCACCCCAGCCCACCTCCCGCCCGTGCCTGACCTGCTGCCAGTGCCAACCTCAAACCCGTCTCTCCGGTGCGGCTGACTCACAATTTGACAATAGCTGAGAAAATCCTCCTCTGTGTTTGATTAATGAACCCAGTTTGCATGGGACATGGGGGCTGAATCTGGTGCTGGGGAGAGGAAGGCAGTAGGGAGCCAGGAGCAGGAACCAATATTCATCAGAGACCCTATGCACTGGAACTAAATTAGGGGCTTCAAAAACATGGTTTCTAAATGGGATCTCTTGACACCTGCTGCGTAGGTTATGACCATCTCCATATAATGGCTGAGAAAAATGAGACCCAGAGAGACCAGGGTCATTGGAAGCCAGGATTACAACCCATCTCTCTCTGATGGTTCCAAGAAACCACTGAGGAGCAGACAAGGGCCATGAAGGGCTCAAGAAGACAGAATTCAGGAGTGAGATGGGAGAAAAGGCACAAGGTTTGGATGAGAAAGGAGGGGTAACAGACACCAGGAGAGGAGCCAGGAAGTAGCAGCAGGAGGAGAGCTGGGCAGAGGATGTGGGTATGAAAGAGGGGGCCTGAGCCCCGGCACACACCAGCCTGGGGATTCATCTTCTTGGCCTTGGGAGGCTCTGCCTTCCTTGCAAGGGTGCGTATGGGCCCACTCAGTGGCACCCGTTCTTGAGATAGGGTATGGGGGCCTGGTCCCAATCCCACCCCAAGGTCCTTGACCCAAACCCCATTGGCACTCACCGCATTGACAGCCAGATTGCCCCGGGCATTTGTTGGTGCTAGCCCATAGAGGATGCCTGCTCCCGCAATAGCTCCCAGCAGCTGGGCCACCACGTAGAAGGTAGCCCGGAGCAGGGAGATCTGGTTGCCCACTAAGAGGGCCAGTGTGATGGCGGGATTGATGTGGCCGCCACTCACAGGCCCCAGGGCCTGGGCCAAGGTGCCTATGGCCAGGCCAAAAGCCAGCGAGATCTGCAAGATGGAAGGCAGCGCCGACGGCCACTGGAGGGCCGATCCGAGGCCGAAGAAGACGAAGATGAGGGTGGCCAGGAACTCGGTGAAAACGGCCTTGATGAAGGCCACGGAGCACACCTCCTTCTTCATGGTGGCCTCGGGGGCCAGATGGTAGCGGGAAGTACCCGTCGGGGCAGCGGCGGCGCTGGGGGCAGGGGACTGGCTCCCAGGCGCGGAGCCCTCTCCCACTGCGCGGCTGGTGGCCTGGCACCGGCCCTGCAGGGGTGCGCTATATAGAGGGCGGGCGCCCCCGAGCGGGGCCAGCGCGGGGGGGCAGTGGGCGGCTCCAGCGCTCAGGGGCCAGCGCCGCGCGCAGGGAGGGGACTTTGTGGCCGCCCTGGGCTCGCCGCTGTCCCGGACCCCGCACGTCGCCCTGACGGGGCAGCGTGAGACCTGCCCGGGCCAAGTTACCCAGGCGGCGGTATAGACTGGCCCGCCGGCGGGAGACCCGCGCATGGTGCGCTCCAGGCGGCTCCTGCGCTCAACTCACAGGCTCCGGAGGAGACTATGCTCAGACTCGACTCTCCTCCCGACTGTCGCTTCTGCACGGCTTTTATCTCCGGCCGTGGTCTCCCCACTTCCTCCTCTTCGGGCCCTGGGTCGAGTTCCTCCTTTTCCTCCTGCGACCCGGCATCCTTACTCAGCCTCACCCCACCGCGGAGCTGGAGCGATGCGATTCCCTGAGGACAGCGCCATACAGCTCCCTGCAGCCCGGTGGCGGGGGCGGGCGGCCCGGCCGGGCAGTGCGGGGCAGTCCCACGGTCGCGGGCCTCTCCCTGACCCAGACCAGGCTCGCCTCCCGGATTGAGGCGGGGGCGTTTTGGGAAAAGCGGGCATAGTGCCAGCCTGCACGGCGCTTGGCAATCAATCCTCGACCCCCAGAGCTGGGCAGTCCTGGTGGTGGGCAGCGGACCCCGGGACGTCCCCTCTACTCGGCAACCGTCCCAGCCCCTCCGGGAGCACAGCCCCTTTGGGGATGCCAGCGAGTCCCCTAAGGAGGTGAGGGCCTTAGGTCACTTTGTCCATGCGACGGGAGCGGGCATAGCCGGTTCGGTTTTGCTTTAA